TTATTGATTGGTCCTTGAGATATGACACAATTGTGCTGGACGGTAGAGCGACGGTCTCGCTTCATGCAGGTTCGGTTACGGTCAAACCCCCGACCGTCCAAGTGGTTACGTACCATTCCTTCCCCCCGTCCCATCCCAAATCCTTATCCTGTTGTTGTTGTTAAAAATTCGCTACTTGGAACAAAGTTCCAAGTAGCACGGGCTATGGTGAGCCCGTAGATCCTTATCCTGATCCCTTCCCCGTGCTGTATAGTCGTAATGAAATGACGCTTTCCCCTTGATAACTCCCTCTTCCCTCCTCGAGGTATGGGCGCCTTGCAACCGCTGCATATTCCAATTTTGGTCTCACACAGGTGGCGAGTATTTCACCATTCACGTATTTAAAAGCCATTGCGAAGTTGGAAAGCGTAGCACATGTTCCCGCCATAATGTCGTTGACGTGGTGCTCTCTGGCGCCATAGTCACGTCGTGGCTCGTCACCTCACTCACACCATGTGGGTCCGGCACATTTTTATGTCACACTGAATTCCATTTGTCGGAATGGCAAATGAAATTCACTCCCCCGTCTCCCTCTCCATCCTCCTCGACCATTCCTTAACACTCTCCCTCCCCAACACTCTCCCTCCCCAACACTCTCCCTCCCCAACACTCCCCCCCTCCCTTGATAAGCCCCCCTGGGAGAGAGAGATAAGGGGCCCGGCGCCAGGCAAGGGGAGGCGAGCTTGTCATTTGTTTCACCTAAGAGGCTTGCCCTCATCCTTCACCAATTGTTCAAAACTACTCGATCGGCGCCACATTTTCCTCATCTCCCAAAAAATGTGTGTGTGTGTGTGTGTGTGTGTGTGTGTGTGTGTGTGTGTGTGTGTGTGTGTGTGTGTGTGTGTGTGTGTGTGTGGGGGTGGTGTGTGTGTGTGTGTGTGTGTGTGTGTGTGTGTGTGTGTGTGTGTGTGTGTGTGTGTGTGTGTGTGTGTGTGTGTGTGTGGTGAGCACACTGACTCGGTTCTCTCCTCATACTTCTTGACTTCTGGGAGACGTTTAATAGCATGTCTCTGCATCCTTTCTCATTTGTTGATGTGCTTCATGATATATTGGCAGCACGCCACTCTTGCAGACCCACAGAGCACTCTTCTGAATGTGTTTACCTATACGTGCTTACCACGGTTTACATCTTAAAAAAAATTATATATATATAAAATATACCAATATATAATATATATGTATTATATATATTGGTGTATACAGGCAGCAGGGTTTCATTTAGACATGTTTCATTGAATATGACAACATATTCTGTGTTGATTATTTTGTTGTTAAGGGCTTGTGTCCCTCTGATTAGTGCTCTTGCAGCTTGCTTTAATTGGAAGAGTTCTCCAAATGTCATCTTTGTTCGAGATAAACTACAAAAAATAATTAACTGTAGGATGTATTACAGTAATTATAAATTTACACAACGTTTCGAACCAACATGGTTCATTCTCAAGTGACGGGACTGTACTGGGCGTATTGGATTTATACCATTAGGGAGGTTAGGTACATAATACCAATAGGTGAGGAGTAGGGCATAATAAGACGGAAGAATAGAGAAAAAATGGGGGAGGAATGGAAGCACGTAAATAGTGAGGAATAAACCGGAAAAAAAGGAGGAAGCATTTACAAAGATTAGTCAGGTGTAGTGGGGGGGGGGGTGAGCAGTGTTGTCTATGTGGTGTCTGAAGACGCCACTGTAGACGACTGCAGTCTGCAGACACTCACTAGAGGCACTCATGGCCACGACGCAGACACACTCACAGTCCTGCACACTCTCACTAGAGGCACTCATGGCCACGAAGCAGACACACTCACAGTCTGCAGACACTCACTAAAGGCACTCATGGCCACGACGCAGACACACTCACAGTCCTGCACACTCTCACTAGAGGCACTCATGGCCACGAAGCAGACACACTCACAGTCTGCACTCACTAGAGGCACTCATGGCACGAGGCAGACACACTCACAGTCTGCAGACTCTAACTCGAGGCACTCATGGCCACGAAGCAGACCACACTCACAGTCCTGCACACTCTCACTAGAGGCACTCATGGCCACGAAGCAACAACACACTCACAGTCCTGCAGACTCTCACTAGAGGCACTCATGGCCACGAAGCAGGACACACTCACAGTCTGCGCTCACTAGAGGCACTCATGGCCACGAGGCAGACACACTCACAGTCTGCGCTCACTAGAGGCACTCATGGCCACGAGGCAGACACACTCACAGTCTGCAGACTCTCACTCGAGGCACTCATGGCCACGAAGCAGACACACTCACAGTCTGCAGACTCTCACTAGAGACACTCATGGCCACGAAGCAACAACACACTCACAGTCCTGCAGACTCTCACTAGAGGCACTCATGGCCACGAAGCAGACACACTCACAGTCTGCACTCACTATAGGCACTCATGGCCACGAGGCAGACACACTCACAGTCTGCAGACTCTCACTCGAGGCACTCATGGCCACGAAGCAGACACACTCACAGTCTGCAGACACTCACTAGAGGCACTCATGGCCACGACGCAGACACACTCACAGTCCTGCACACTCTCACTAGAGGCACTCATGGCCACGAAGCAGACACACTCACAGTCCAGCAGACACTCACTAAAGACACTCACATCTGCTTCAACAACAAACAAAATCACTAATATTCTCGAATATTAAATATTTTAATATTGCCGGCATAATAAAACTAATAAAAAAAACAAATATTATTAGCCTTACCGTTATTTTCAGATGACGTCATCAAGCAGCATTTTGAATAATTTTAGCGATACAGTCACGAGTTTTTGGCGGCTTTTATTTTTCGCAAAAAATCTCTCGGCGCTCGTCTGCATAAATACATTTTTCCCGCCACCAAAATTGCACTCCCTGAGAGGAGGAATGGCAACCTTGCATCACCGTGAAGACGGCAACAATGCTAGAACTATGCAAATTATCTCTGTACAAAAACAATTGTCTGGAATTGATGTGGAGCAGTATACGATTAGGTGATCTACAACCACCCGTGTCTCTGTTATGTCTAGAAGCGGTCAAGGGAGATTACAGTTGCATGTTTAATTCGTAATTCTTATTGGTTTAGAGAAGCAGCGCGGGACTGGTTGGTAAAGAGATAGGAGAAGGAAATGATTGGAATGTTGAATAGCGAACTCCAACAGCAATATGTGGATGGCTATCATGGAGCCAGCCATCATGGAGCCAGCCATCATGGAGCCAGCCATTATGGAGCCAGCCATCATGGAGCCAGCCATTATGGAGCCAGCTATCATGGAGCCAGCCATCATGGAGTCAGCCATCATGGAGCCAGCTATCATGGAGCCAGCCATCATGGAGCCAGCCATCATGGAGCCAGCCATCATGGAGCCAGCCATCATGGAGCCAGCCATCATGGAGCCAGCCATCATGGAGCCAGCCATCATGGAGCCAGCCATCATGGAGCCAGCCATCATGGAGCCAGCCATCATGGAGCCAGCTATCATGGAGCCAGCCATCATGGAGCCAGCCATCATGGAGCCAGCCGTCATGGAGCCAGCCATCATGGAGCCAGCCATCATGGAGCCAGCCATCATGGAGCCAGCTATCATGGAGCCAGCCATCATGGAGCCAGCCATCATGGAGCCAGCCGTCATGGAGCCAGCCATCATGGAGCCAGCCGTCATGGAGCCAGCCATCATGGAGCCAGCCATCATGGAGCCAGCCATCATGGAGCCAGCCATCATGGAGCCAGCCGTCATGGAGCCAGCCATCATGGAGCCAGCCATCATGGAGCCAGCCATCATGGAGCCAGCCATCATGGAGCCAGCCATCATGGAGCCAGCCATCATGGAGCCAGCCATCATGGAGCCAGCCATCATGGTCCCAGCCATCATGGAGCCAGCCGTCATGGCCCCAGCCATCATGGAGCCAGCCGTCATGGAGCCAGCCATCATGGCCCCAGCCATCATGGTCCCAGCCATCATGGAGCCAGCATCATGGCCCCAGCCCAGCCATCATGGAGCCAGCCATCATGGTGCCAGCCATCATGGAGCCAGCCATCATGGAGCCAGCCATCATGGTCCCAGCCATCATGGTCCCAGCCATCATGGAGCCAGCCATCATGGTCCCAGCCATCATGGTCCCAGCCATCATGGAGCCAGCCATCATGGTCCCAGCCATCATGGTCCCAGCCATCATGGAGCCAGCCATCATGGACCCAGCCATCATGGACCCAGCCATCATGGACCCAGCCATCATGGTCCCAGCCATCATGGTGCCAGCCATCATGGAGCCAGCCATCATGGTCCCAGCCATCATGGTCCCAGCCATCATGGAGCCAGCCATCATGGAGCCAGCCATCATGGACCCAGCCATCATGGTCCCAGCCATCATGGAGCCAGCCATCATGGAGCCAGCCATCATGGTCCCAGCCATCATGGTCCCAGCCATCATGGAGCCAGCCATCATGGTCCCAGCCATCATGGAGCCAGCCATCATGGTCCCAGCCATCATGGAGCCAGCCATCATGGTCCCAGCCATCATGGACCCAGCCATCATGGTCCCAGCCATCATGGTCCCAGCCATCATGGTCCCAGCCATCATGGTCCCAGCCATCATGGAGCCAGCCATCATGGAGCCAGCCATCATGGAGCCAGCCATCATGGAGCCAGCCATCATGGAGCCAGCCATCATGGTCCCAGCCATCATGGTCCCAGCCATCATGGTGCCAGCCATCATGGTCCCAGCCATCATGGCCCCAGCCATCATGGAGCACATCACAGCACCACCGCTGAAGTGTGTATGTCAGTGGACAGGTAGGTAGGGAGGATCTCAACCTCACTTGCATATCGTTGCCTCTTTGCTACGGTAAATGTATATTTTACGCTCATTATAGCAATATATGAATGTGAGTAGCGTTCCCCCTTAATATGTCTATATTATGGCTACATCTGACTAAGTAAGCCTTCCCTCCCCCCCTCCCAGATTGCGGTTATCTGTGATAGCAGGTAGCGGTTCCTCACCTTATGGCTATCCGTGACTGTTGGTTTAATTTCCCCTCATTTAACTTTTTACCCTGTTCCCTTTCTGCCCCTCAGCTAATGGACGTGAACCATTTTCGAGGGGCAAAATCAACACGCATCTCCTCTGAATACCTACATATTTTCCCCTCCCCAACTGCACGAGGCTAGGGCAAGAGAGTGCTACGACCAGCCGCGCACAAGAGGCGGAAATTCCCGGGCGAGAGAAGTGAAATGATGCCATACGGACAGTGCGGAAAACCCGTATTTTGGGGCAGAGCCGTCAAATTGGTGTGTGTCTGTTGGGAATAGTCTTCAAAGCGGCTTGGAGGCGCTTCATCAGACCCAAATCCTGTGGCAAAGCGGACAGAGGGGATATGGAGAAGGCATAAGGGAGAGGAGAAGGGGGGAGAGGCAGGGAGGGAGAGGAGGAGGAGCAGTCGGGAGGCACAAAGAGAAGAGAAATGATAGTGTGACAGGAGAGGAAGATGTGACAGTGCAGGAGGAAGGTAGTCGTGACATGACACACCACTACCCACATCTTCACAACACGTAGAGTCAAAGCTCACTATCACTCTTATCAAGCCACCAGCTTATTGACCAACCTATTAACCCAGCGCCACCGCCCTAAACCACGACTGTTTCAATTATTTCTACAATAATTACATTATTTCTCCATACGTCATCGCCTCCATTAATTAGTTAATCTCTTAGTTTCCTGAATTGCGTGACATCTGTCCTGAATTACGTAATCACCGT